TATATATATATATATATATATATATATATATATATATATATATATATATATATATATATATATATATATATATATATATATATATATATATATATTTATCTGAATTATGTTGGAATATCAGAGAATTTCATTACCAATATCTTATAATCACCTGCTGCGACTGAATGGCAGTCAGTACAACCATGCTCGAGGGGTGCTGACTTAGAGATTGCCGTTGACGCTGTTGTAAAACAACTTGCTGTTGATTAGAATGTGAAGTTGCCGCTACGGATGTTCCAACGTCTATTTCACTACTTGCTGTCGACGAACATGGACTTCCGTTATCTTAAAATAGCTTAAACCTTCGAACATAATAAACCTTGATTACAAAGCACGACGGATGATACTACTACCAACGAAGAATCGCATAATCAAATATTAGCCAACAACAATCTCGAAGATTCACCACCAGATGTAAGAAAATGATTATTCAGAAAAAACCAAAAATAATATGAATTAAATCGAATTTTTGCAAAGTATAGAAGGAGCAGATTGCTTTCTTTTGTAATAGATATAGAGTACATTTGAATATCTGTGGAAAAATAAGTTACAAAGTTCGGAGAACAAATTAAGATTTCTGATGAATGAAAAATGAAAGGAATAAAAACTGAAAAATCAAACCAAAAGGAGCAAAAAATAAGACGAATAAATGAGTTCCCCAATATCTTTAAATAAATATGGAACAAACATTGGGAAAATTACCTCATCTGAAACAATTACATACCAAACAACTTTTTAGGTCTCGGAAGTGAAACCTAGTCTAGATAACAAAACATCTGAAACACTCACATAAGCTTTGTTTGAAAGTGAAACCTGTGGCAGACGTTGAAATAGCATTCGTATTTCTGTCGCCATTTGAACCATTCGACAATCCATGGTCTGGCAGAGTGTTATATTCACATGAAACTTGTGTGTTTACCATTTGAAGCTGACTGGTTTGTTGATAACTGCAAGGGCAAAAATTTTTGGATGAACCATGTATGAGAACTGCAGAATTTCCTAAATTCCCCTTTAAGACATAAATGATTACCTGCTTACGGTCACACCTTCTGTAGGACCAATAGATGTTCCTTGACTAGAAGCTTCTTGTTTGACGTTAAGGTTGCAATGTACAAAATATGTTCCAGTATTACTGACTCCTGTTGGCGCAATCACCGCTAGGGTGCTACTACCATTTTGACCTTCAAAAAAAGAAGTAAAAGCAAAAGATTTTATTACGATGCTTGGCAAATGCAAAATCGGCACAGGAGATGAAAAAAATGTTATTCTCACAATTTCTGAGCCTCATAAAACATGTAAGTTTTTTAAATGTATTTTCGTTTTTCTGCGAATAAAGGCTCACTCACTGGGAGATGAACAAATATTACAGATCCTATATATTAAACACTGCCGAAAAATGAAGATAAAAGTTTGTACGACAAACTTTTGACTTGATCAAATTATCAATTGCCTAAAAACACAAAACACGATGGTCTTTTACTGACGAGAGAAAAAGTGTATGGTAGTTGTACTGACAAATGACAATAAAGTCAAGCATAACGCATGCAGTTCATTTGCCTAAGTGCTGCCATTGTTATTGCACCATCAAAACGACATTTCAGAATAGCAGCAAGTCTAGGCTGCATTCTCCCGCCTGGCGCTTCTGCAAGATATACCAATGTTGCGAAAGTTTCAGGACCAAACATATTTTGGAGGTTTCTTTAAAGAATTTTATGAACAAAAGACTAGAAAGGAGTTTGCAATTACAGTCCTTTTTGAAAGGAAGATAACTTATCCTGTTACATCAGAAAAAGAAGCTGGAGTGTGAGAATTGCAGGAAACATTCAAATTATAATCAAGAAAAACAAAGATGACATATGTATGATGCAAAGGAAATTGACTAAAAATTTTAAATAACAAAAGGAACTCAGTGATTATCATTTTAAATGGAAACCAAATATTTCCTACACTTCTATAAGGAATCTGGATTCACTTCGTTTCTAAAAGCGATAAAGTCGCTGACGTTGTCTAAACAACAAGGCGCATGACAAAGACCCGGAACTTCTCTTGCTTACAAAATTGGGGACAAAAACTTCGTTACCTTGACTACTGTTTGATTGTTGCGAAGTGAGATTCTGAATCTGCCTACGTTGTACATTTGAAGAGCTTGTAACTGCACCCATAGATGTAGAGTGAAGACTACTCATGTTCTAAAAAATGCATTGAATACTTAATAAATGCGCAAAAAAATAATTCTTGTTCACCTGTTTTATCGATCTTTTGAATCCAAAATGTGCTCAGATAAACATTCCTGTTCCTTATTTAGAAAAGCCAACCGTTCCAGGGAATTCAGCATTTACCATTACTTTATACAGCTAGGCTTACATCAACTAAAAACGGTTCGATCCATCGCATCATTTCGGTGAACTGTTGTGAAGAAAGTGATGTGTTCACGTTAACGGCACTGCTTGAAGAGGAACAGTTAGAACTACCTGATGCATGACGTTCACGACCAGTGATAAGGGAATCCTGAAATTTTAAAAATCGACAAGGTATTAAAATATTCCATAGGCAACCTGATATAAGCAAACACAATAGTAAAGAAAAAAAAAACTGAAAGTGAAGCTCTGCTTTTGCTATATGACCTGATTATTTTCACCCGAATCAACATTTCGTCGTTTCCTCCGTTCACGTACGTACCGATCACGTATTCTTTTCCACTGCATTTGCAACGCATGTGCGTCATCTATTAAAAGGACTTAACAATCAGATAACAAAGAAGTAAATAGCAATATAGTTCAAATAGTTTATCACGATGAAAAATTCATGGAAACATTGAGATTAGATAGCGAATCCAAAGTGGATACGCAAACATGGTAAGTTCTGAATAAGGAAAATAGTGGATTGACTGAAAGAATAGAAAATGGTGTTTATGAGTTATAAGACAGAAAAAAAAAAGCAAAAAAACAGAAAAGAAAAGAACGAGAAAGTAAAATATACCTTTGAATCCCAGTTCAACACGTAGTTTCTGCCACACTTGGATTCTGTATTGCGCACTAGAATGTTTATTCCCATAATGTTCATGGTTGGGATTGTATAAACACGGTTGCGCTTTCACAGCTTCAATCAGGCGACGAGTGAAATCTTCATCCAAAATTGATGTTGAAATCAATGGTGTCCCACCGGTAGCAATAGCAGTACTTAGAGTAGTAGTAGTACTGCCTGTATGTTGTCCGACGGCCGACTGGATCTGAACTGTTGGCATATAATCAGTATTTCTTGATCGCTTAACTGAAAACCAAATAATTTTAGCTTTCTTGCGTTATGATTTCGCCTATTCCTAGAACAGTATAAAATATTTACCAACGGCATTTTTGGAAAGCCACAGATTAAAGCCCATTAGTATGCTCTAGAATATTGCGATATACTCTACGCACGTTCAGCTCCTATGTTCTGTCTGAATACTAAGACAAAAAACACCCGAAAGAGATGAAACAAAAATCGGTCTGTGCAAAAACAGAAAGGTCCCGAAGAATATTCGAAACACACTCACCTACGACTCCAAAAAAATTTGTCGCAGCGCGTGCCGTCCGGCACTAACCGGTTTGATAATTCCCAGTATCACTGGTAACGCGTAAAATACGTCGCAGCGTGTGCCGTCCGGCACTGGCCGGTTTGATTATTTCCAGTATCACTGGTTACGTGCAAAATAACAGCTGCAACGAAATTTGAACGTTTCTTTTTTCATTTATTCCATATTTCTGTCGCACATTTTTTTTTTCGACGAATAATGTAGTCTCTCTTTGTGAAGAAAATATTTTTTTTCTTATTCCCCTGATATATGTGCCAACGATGCCCTTAAAAATGTGGCAGTCATTCGGGAAAGGTCTCCACAATTTGTTTTCAATCGAACATGAATGACGTTGTTAGGCTTATTTACAATCCATGCTATATGTAAGGTAAAGATTTGTTCGCTTACAAATGGTGGGAACGATCCTCACCTGACCTGTCGGAAAGGTATGAATCAACGAATAACGGAATCAACATTTGAAACGTTGATATGCATTTGTCCTGAAATTAAAGTAAATAATAAATGATAAATGAAATATTGATAGCGATAACCTTGTCAAACTTTCTCCATCCCGCTTCATACCTTATCAAGCGGACTGTTAACAATTGATCGTGACGTGATAGTCACAAATACTATGTAAGATTCCATACGACAACAGCAGATTAACTGTTCAGGAATTAATCAAACTCTTGGCATGGTGACTCATCCTCTGTCTCTATTCTGTACTTTACTCTAACTCACTTATAATCTTCCAAGATCTGCACCATATAATTTTCAAAATTTCATATTATCAAGAAAGGGGAACACCGCTACGCAACACGCAGCGCCCTAGACGCAAATGTCGCACAACGCCGAACGCTAACGCCCCAGGCGCCAAAAACCTAAAAGCGATGCGGATGCGATGCGGTAGTTACAGTGAGAATCCTTCTGGGACTCACGCTCGAACAAAGCAGCACTTTATGGCATTGTTACGTAAACATCAATTGAGAATTGAGTTGGTTAGGATGAGGGTGATTTGTGTGTAAACTGTTTGTTGTATTAGCGAAGAGTTTTACAGCTTCTTTTAGACGCATGGAAGCTTCTTCTGTGATTCATCTTTAATCGATTGCTTATTCGTGTTGTCAAGATAATTTTTCAAGTCATAGTTATTGATGTAATTTGCAGCATTCAACTCATATGACTTCTAAAACAGACAAAGGAGCTGCATCTGTATCTGGTGACGATGAGCAGTTTGTCGTAGTGAGAAGGAATGGAAGGAAATCTAAGCGACGATCTCGTGGAAGAGATGAGAATGTTGCAACAGCTGTTTGTTATCTAGGAGATCAGGTTTCGATGGAGAGAATTGACACAGTTATGAGGAATGCCTGCACCAACATCGAATTGATCAAGTATAGGTGAAGAATATGTTGCTGTTCTCTTTACCTCTTCCAATTTCTATCTTTCTTCATCAATTATTAATAATCGGAACAGCTATTGTGTAATGAGTATATCAGAGAAGGTGAGAAAATAATGCTTCTGCTGTTTTATGTGGGTATTTCTGCCGTTCGTTAATACAGTAAGGAGAAATAAATGTGACAGCATGTAACTGAAGAGGGAGTAATTTAGTCCAGCTAATCTATAAACTTTTGTGGTTTTTTTTTTCACCTGACCTAAGAATTTTGAATACTTGAGGAAAGCAAACCAGAAAACAAGAGCAGTTCTGATTGGAAGTTGGATAATTCGGGATATGGAGCACTGCTTCTGGGCGACTGTGGAAGTTGGGGGGTACCTTCATGTACATTTTAAAGAACTCATTGTTTAAAATTTGTTTTTGTATTTCAGCCAGCAGATCATTACTTTACTTCTCAAATCCCTCTCTGGACGTCAACTATCAAGCATTTGGGCCCTTGGACTGGGTTCTTTCAGTTATCCCTATTATCATGGTTGTGATCAGCTAGCGCTGTTGCTTGAGTTGCAACATTATTTTGGATGTGAAGTTTATTTTCAAGAACCATGCTTGACAGAAATGGAAAAAGTTCGTTAACCCTTTTCCCAACACTAATTTTTGTCTTGAAAATTTGGATGACTTTTTTGGATTACGTAGAAAATAAGTGAAAGTAAGTGGGGAAGATCAGTAGACATACCGAGCTTGAAAGGGAAGCCATGGATTATAGTCTACGCCCGTTTTACCAAATGCTTTGGATCAAGAGATCTGAAAGTTCTGCTGCCTTTTAAATTAAAATAGACTGAGTTATTGAAATGATTCTGATTAACCCTTATTGTTTCCTTGCCGATCATTACATCATAACTTTATTTTCTTTTTGAATTTCTTTTCCTGTTCTTGGATGTTTCATCCATCTGTATAAATGTTTTTGCACTTAATTAAAGTTTTCCAATTTAAGGGTGACTTTTTTCAGCTTTGGTTGTGCAATCATGCTATTTCCTTATCGGGAACCAAAGATTTGTTAGAATGTCGGATATCCGATGATGATGATGATGATAATGATAACAATGAAAATGTTGTGCTATTTTACGCACCACATTGTGGTCATGCCATATACAACAGTGTAATTTATGCGCACAGGAAGAAACTAAAAAGGATTATTATTGCAGGCAAGCAGTTAATTTTATTTAGCTTAACCTACATTTAACGGGCTAGTGCATTTGCGCGATAGGAATACATTTGCTCGTCTGAAACATGCAGTAATTTTTGTGGTATGTAAAGTTTTTTCATGTTTCTCTACTAATCCTGATATATTGTATTCGAAAATGTAATAATTAATTATATGAATTTCCAGGTAACAACCTTCATTCGATGTATAATATGTCCAGACATTTGGCAAGATATGAGGAATCTGTGTTAAGCCCGGAAGAATGTTCTCTGAAAGAATGCAACGTAACAGATTTGGAAATGTCTAACTATAATGAACTTCATTCTCTTTCACTATATAGTAAAGTGTGTACATTGTTAGAATTTCCAATTTTTAAGTCAAATTTTGCTGTTTTTAACGATACAGCGCTCCATTTTCTGTCACAAAATACTCCATTGCCAGAAATTTCCGAAGCGAAGCCAAAGTATCGATTGTTTAGGCACGAAATTGTGATTTGAAATATTCTAATGAAAATCATGATTGAAAGAAATAGATTACGATCTGAACTTTGCATGTTGCTGTTTAGGTGCCCCCAGCAATTTTCTGTGGAATCAGTTTTTGTTACAATTTTTACCCTTTTTTAAATCTTCTATAGATTAGTAATTATTGTGCGTCATTTCTCATAAACAACAGTGAAATATTGTCTTTCATTCAACGTTGTTTTTTATTATTGTAATTCGTAAATCATGACCATGACCCTATAGCAAAAGTAACATTCACATGTTTTGAACTGAGGGCTTACGTACTTCAGCCATCATGTCTTTTCACGTCATACCAATGATTTGGGTGGGATTTCTTAGAAATTTGTAAGACAATTCGTTTCATTTACCTTATCTTATTATTGTGACAGAAAAAGTGATAAAGTTATGTTTGCATTTCTTAATAACTGGATCAAGAAACAGCAAGTGATAAGCGTGTAAATAAGCCCATTTTACAGTAAGCATTTAAGGCACAAGTGAATCACTCAAAGAAATTCACTACCGCGTGGAAAAGTTATTCATTTTGTCAATTAAATCAAAAGGAATTCAATTTTTTTCACAGGACTTGTAATAACTGATACGCTGCATATAGGTACCACTGGTTTGTGTTGTAAGAAAATTACAAAATGCCGGCGGGTCCCTTCCTTGCCCACCTGCCCAACAAAGATTAATGAAATGAGCATTTATTAATGTTTAGTGAAGTTACTTCACCTGATTTTTTTTCCTAACCAACATTCAATACATTCAATACCTTAAACTCAGATAAGTCGAGTAATTTGTACTCTATCAAAGCTAATATTATCGAACGTATTTCATGAAACTGTATTAAGATAAGAAATGGCATTTTTGTAACACTTGGCCATTCAAAGAATACCAACAAGATTTATAAAAACAAACAATATTAACTGGATTTTATGAAGTGTACTGGTTTATGAGCGATTTATCGGTGACTCAATTAATACTTCAACTCAATGGTCTTTCCGAAGTGATGTCAATCGCTTTTTCACATATCCTTCCCAATTATTTTTTTTCTTTGTCGCATTAACTGGAAAAAATCACTCCAATCGATTGTTAACGATATACCTAAAGTTTTTTCAGATTCAAATTCGAAAATGCATTGCTATATACTCTTGAGCTGATCAATATAACTACAGTACAACTACTTTGAATGAATGGGGAATGCTTTCATCTTTCATTATTCATTCAATGCGGAAAATGTTTCCCTTCAGCAATTAAATTAATTCGAGAAAAAAGTGAGTGCCCGATCGTGAACAGCTGTGATTGACATTGGCAATCGTTAACATCGGCTATTTTTCAACACCCTTTGAAAGGAAGGATGTTTTTTTCTTTTTCAGTAACATTGAAAGTTTTACAAAGATTAAATTAAACTAAATTAAAAATCAAACTAAAAATTTATTGAACTCTTTTTTAATTAATCTTTTTATTGAGATGTTCACATTTCTTTCGATATTAGCTATCCTTAACATCAACTACTTCCCAACATTCTTTGCAGCAAAGGTTGTCTTCTAATCAGTAATTAAATGGACGGAGAAATTGAGCGATTCATGATGTCAACAACTACTTTAATTTATAATTCAAAACCCTATGGGTCACCTTGCTTACTTCCTCATTTACTTACTTTCCTAACCTGTTTACTTCACCAAAGTATCAACTGAAAGGCTTCAGTTCATGTACCAATCAGATTTTATATCTTGCAGAAAAATGGATGTACCTGTCTAACTGATTCATCTATAGATCTTCCGAAATGCATAAATTTCGTTGATGCACTCAAATGAATGAATCATTTGTGTTAGTTTCTATCTTATCATCAATTTTATCTTTGTTTTTCCAATAAATAAATCGGCGAGAATACATTGCTTTACTTTGTTAAAGTGATAAGAAAAGTTCTTGAAGTTTACTGTTCTTTTTCTTGCAGCATGCAAATCAAAGAAAGCCTTCCTTCATTTGAAATTAGATCACTTGTGAAAAGGTCAAAGTGACCATGTTAGCGATATCGTTCAATAACATTTTTATAAACCCACTGGCTTTGTTTCTGCTCTCACCACAGAAGATGATCGAGATATAAGTTGCTTCCGACAACGTTCGTTTTACTTTCGGTCAACGAATAAAAATTACGATTGATGAATCCTGAAATTACCATTTGTTTAAACTTTCTCCTTAAACCACAAGTCAACAGTTATGAGATCTAAACTTATTGTGACTACCTGCTTGCAAAGATCCCGAAAGTAAACTATTCTCGTGACAGTGAAGGGATCGGATAAATAGATCAGTTCAAACTTCTTTTTAACTGTTCTGATCTGATTACGATTAACTTTTTTTTTACATTACATTATACATGCACATCTAGATGAATTTGAAAGGAAATTTCTGGTATTAAATTAATAAAATCTTGAGATATCTCCGACAGGATTTTATTTAATTCCAGAGAGATTCGTGCTTGAAGATGAATTAATTTTTTTGGAAATGAATCTAAGTCTTGCATTCAAAATCAAAAAGCTCTAATAATATGAGTCGTATAATTAATACATTAAGGTGGTGCAGCTTGACACATGACCGTGATGTTCTGTAGTCCCAAATGAGGTCAAAATTATATCTACCTTTTTTTTTCAGCTTTCGTTTTACTCCAGCTGTACTTTGGTCTTACTGTTAATTTTGGATCTATCACCTCAATCATTACTGAATGATAAACCCATCAGGATATTTTTGTTTTAGTCTCTTTATAAATCAAATGCAACTTCATGTTGATTTCATTTTGTTTCAAATGTTCAAATGTTACAAACAGTTTCTTAAAAGGTGATCAGGTTGAAAAATGTCATGAAGTAAGGTATTGAAGAAGATCCACAAATGTCGTCGATACCACGATATCAATTCTGCTTAAGTAATCATCGTTTTGTAGTTTTGAATATAGCTATCCTATTTTCTCGCTATTATAAATGTGATCTTGACATTTCAAGATTTTGGAAGGATTTAAAAAATTTTAAGTTTCCAGAAATTCAATGATTTCGGATATTTAATCTACGAACTGTTATGTATATGTTGGCGATATCATTTGACCGTTTTTATGTTTGCTTCTTCCAATTTTAATCATTTTCAAGTAATCATAACTAAATTTTCCGAACATCAGGAAAAGGTTAGAACATCAGAACATTAAATTACTATAGGAATAAAAAATTATTTAAATTTAGATTAACATCTGTAATATGTTTTGTATATCTGTGACATATTTGATGTATCGAAAAAGTGAAGAATCTGATTGAAATAGAGTTGAAAATTGTGTTTGAACTATAAATGAAACAAGAAAGTAAATTTATTAATTAAAGTTAAAGTCAAAACTAAAGATATTCATTAACGTTAGAGTTGCAGCTTCTATCCAAAGCTAATATTAAAATTGATCCCGAAGGTTGAAACTTTGGCTAACTTAATCTAACAGTACTAGTAGTAATGATAGCAATTATGGAAAGAATGTAACAATAACAATGGTAATCAAAATTTCGTCAACTGGTTTCAATTGATGGCAAATGGAGTGGTAACAGTTACAAACCTATCAAATGGCACTTTAATGAGATGAATCACCGCTGCAAAATTTCGTTCATTGTTTTGATTTTGGGCAGCTATAGTATCTATTATTGGCGCATTTAGCTCAAAAAAAGACAGAAACTTGTATAAAGGACTTTCTTTGTTACTAAACATTTCCTGATTCATTTCATTCACAATAAATTCTAAGAAAAAAAAAACTGACCAGTTCGTAGAATTCTTTCTATTTAAAACAAACTGATAAATTGACAACATTCAAATAGTAAAAGCAAAAACATTCAACTGTGCCTTTCGTTTACTCTGTCCATCCGCTTGATCCTGCTATCTCCACGCCCAAAACAACATTCTTCTTCAGGGAAAAACCAGATTTTGTCAAAGCAAACCGTTCTTATCCATTTTGCTAAGATACCATCTTATACTTATTGTTCAACATTTCTTGTTGTTTCGACTACAAAATGACCAATTAATTATGCTTCATACAGTAACCCCACTTTCTATTACTTTTCCTAGCGTGAATTTGGAGGTTTAAGTTAGAAAAGAAAAATTCAATTTTGGGAAAGAAGACAACTCACTCATATTTTTTAGGTAAAAGTTCGTCAAATTCCAAAGTTTTGAATAAAATTAATTAGAATGTTGAATCATCATTATATCCAGAATCGTTGGTAACTGATAGACAATTCAAGAAGTACTGTTTCAGTTTTAATTCCGGTTTCATCTGATGAATATTTAAGTTGGCAATCGATTATTCTTCTAAACTTGGTTGACTTCACGTTTCTTCAAAAGTTATCGCTGCAAACAGACAACGAAACAAGTAAACAAACAAACGAACAAACAGGCAAATAAGCAAGAAAACAGGTAAACATAGTAAAGTGAACAATAACAATGCGTAATTAAAATATATTTCATAATTTGACATACTCAAATTTTTACAATAGAATGTATAAAGGAATAATCGAATCTTAAGTAAAATTTATATGAATTTTGACATTTAACCTTTAAATATTTACGAATTTATCAATTTAGTGAGCCCTTTTCCCTTTCCACATCAATACAATGCTATTTATTCATTAAGTTTACTGTTCTGAATTTGCTCGAATGATCAGAATCACGAAAATTTGTTTTTTGGTATTCACCCTCTTTTCATTTAATCAAATTTACCTAAAAGTGGCCATTCCCAACTTTAAAAGTTCTACCATTTCATGTAGCAATTAGCTCCAAAATCCCTTTGACAAGAACTATATTTACATTGAAACAATGAATTTCCCTCAATTTTTTTTTTTGATTTTTTCTTTCAAATTTGGTAACATTTCAAGCGGTAATAAAGTCGTAAATTGTAGTTCAACCAAAACTCTCAAGCGATCATCAAACTAATTCAATTTTCGCTTTAGTTAAAAAATAAATTGGAATAATAATCTAATTTTTTTTTTTTCACAAACCATCCCTCTGACTGTCGTTTGTGATTGTTGAATGAAGCTTGAAAATCTCAACTATTGCTTAAATTGTCTCATGCTTTCCTTTCAGCTAACCATTTTCCTGTTATGTCTTTTTGGTATCATCAGTCAATTTTTCACATAAAAAAGTGAAGGAGAACGTTTATTTTACTAACAGGCAATTTTTTTTTTTTCGCCACTGTCATCCAAGAATAATTTTGAATGAATTAGTTTAATACAGGTCAATCAAACAAGTATTAAGCTCAATCATCAATGACTAGAAGCATTTGTAGGTTGTCATTCTTCTTTCATCCGATATTAGATTAAAGGTATCGTAATGTGTTGTGGAATTGATATAATTATACGTGTTTTATTTAGAAAAAATTCCTAGAAATGAAACAAAGTTGAAGTTTCTTGAAAAAAGAAAGATCACAGCAGTAAAAGCGATCGGAAATGAGGTCGTTCTTCTTTTTCTGATCAAATAGAATTCTTTTGACATTTGGGTTAGTAAATTTCATGTAGTAGAGAAATTGGCAAAAGTCACTTCAACAATCATTCTTATTTATCTTTCAAACGTTATTTTGCAAAATGTTATGTGTTTCCGAAACTATTACCATTTATGATTCATCGAAATGATTATTGATCTGATTTTTAGTTTTTCCTCTTAATTTTGCCCTTAAGCATATTTTTTGTCTCTAATTTCCTTTTCCGCCAATTAGAAGAAAACTGCTTGTTTATTGTAGTTTTCTCTTTGTGATACAAAACAAAAAGAAACTATGGTAACTGAAGAATGAAGATCCTTTCGAAATTTATAAAAAAACTAACGTTTTCCTCTTGTCATCCAATTTGTACATTTTTGTAAATGCAATTTTCTTCAGAGTTTGGGAAGTTCTTAATATTTTTTTTTTACAGAAACATCTTTTATGTAATTTACAAATATCATTACTTCGCTAGTTCTAGGGAAATTCAAGTTTAAAAAATTCTTCAAAGTTAATAATTTTGTCGCAAAATAAAGAATCTGAAAAATTTTCCGTGCATCTAAATTAAACTCAGAAACTTGATATTAAGTATGTTTGTCAAGTAGTTCGTGGGAAATACAGTCTCACTGCATTTATTATATGTCTTAGTGGGCTTAAAAAAACAGCCACGATTTCACTGTAAGATTTTCCTAATATTTTACTCCAACAATTTAAAATTTTACAGTTTTTCATTTACAGTTTTAGTGGTACTGCTTAGTCTATCACTGCAACTAATCTTTTCATGACAACATCATGCGTACCCGAAAGCTCTCCTTGTCACTTGCTCTTGCTGCAAATTTTTTTTGCGATTGAGTTTTAAGAATTTGAATTCCGCAAAGAATTTCTCTGCAAGTCATAAATAAACTTTTACATTTAAAACCAAAAAAATTTTATTGCATATCTGAATTCATTATCATTTCATTCATATTTGCTTATCATCAGCTAATCACCCCTTACAGACTCGTTTCTCGTATAAAACTGGTTGTACACCTTATCTTACCTGATATTTACACCCTCTACAAAGAATACTAATTTTTATTTGTTAATTATGAACACTTTGTTTGCTGCAAAACGTCATTGAGTGAATCATGTACCAACAAAAACGTCATGACCTGACATAGTAAATATCACGGGTATAGTTGTTTGAAATGGTTGGAGAAGTTGGTTTCTCTTAGACTTTTTGAACTGGTAAGTGCAGTCTTCAGAAATTCGTATTAGTGAGCGCAATTAACGAAGACGATGCTCTCGAAACTTGTTTATTGAGCTTTAAAATAGAAATAGGCAGATGACTTTGCAGTTCTTCGTCACAGGGAAGAGGGGCGAGTCGCCTTTGGTCATCCAAATGGAAATAATTAAAATAAAAATAATAGTCGATAGTAACTGCGGCTATGTTTGTACAAACATTTTACAACTTTATGAAAAATTTAAAATGGTTTGAATTTTTTACCAACTTCCATGAAGGGCAGAAATGAGTGAAATGATTGCAACATATTTCTATGACAATTGTTTTTGTTTTCTTTGAACTTCTAATGAACATACGGGACAGACTTTTTCAAAGTTCCCATTTCGGGTCTTCAATATTTCCGCCTCGAAAAAAAACAAAGGGGCCAGGGTTCTTCCTGCAAAGTAGAAAAAGAAAAAAAACATTCGTTAACAAACTTAAAATGAAAAATGAAAAAGTGAAATTTCTCATGGAATTGTAAATAATTGAACGAACAATAATAATTGTAATCGATTGAAAGTTGAAAAAATCATGCTGATATATGTTCATAAATTATCACGTAGAAAGCAATTTATGAAATAATTTTAATTTGTCTCGAAAAGGAATAAAGTAATTATGGACGTACGTGTATGGCGACACGTGTATGGAGTGGACATCTATTAAATGTTCGTAGTTAATTGATATGTGTCAATGTAGCGCCGAAAATACCCTTTTAGAATGCACCTAAAAGAAGTGCTATTAGTCTTGATACTGTCCTGCTACTTGTGCTATCAGACCGTTCGGTCACAGCAAGTTAATGTGACCATATTTACGGAATCGAAATGTAAATATTGTACAAAGCTATTGCGTGAACAAATCTGGCCATTCTACGTGGAACGACCTGGAATAATGAATATCCAGGTGAGGAATTTATTTTTTTTAAACTTGCAAGAAATTATTTCGAAAACATCCGCTTTGTGCATTTTCTGCTTAACAATTTAAGTACGGAAGGCATCTAGAATGGACAAGCAAGATATTGTCAAAGAATGCAAAATTTGCAACTTGTGGTCCAAGCGAATTTTTTCCAGATAATACCATTTGGTAAAGGTTACTGTGACCACTTTTCAAATCAAACATTCTACTGTCACTGTCAACATGAGCAAGACGAATGTGATCTGAATAGATTGCAAAATTGCGCTATCGCTGTTAGTTTGTCCGTTTTTTTGCCTTTTTTTAATTAAAAACGAATCTCATAAAGCAATCATAAATGTATTCATAATTGTAAGTATTTCAGTTCTTCCCTCAACGCTACTTAGGCCTGGTAACATGTGTTCAAGGCTTGTCCAACATTTACGAAGCCTTTTCACGATGTTTGACAGGTCTTACTGAATATACTCGATATCGATTAATTGAATGTGCCACAACACAAACTGGCGAAACTTTAAATTATTACTCTATGTTGAATACTCATCGGGCAGGTATCAATTGCTAATTAGCTTTCAAGAAAACTCAAATTTCAAAAAAAAGTTTTAGCACAAAAATTGGATTTACAGATGTATGAAAAAGCTGGAGTTATGTAAATTTGCCACTATATAATTTGCAGGAATCAAATTATGGCCAGCAATGTTTGTGAACGGTGAATATTTTGAGCGCAATTATCCGTCCGAAATTGAAATATGCCGACATACAATGTGGTGCTAGCAATAAAGCAACAAACCCATATTTTTTTGAAAACAGAGACTTCAGGTCGTTTTACACTCGAGTCGAGAATATTGTCTCTCAAGTTACTGACAAAGTTTGAGCTACCTGAAAAGGCATATGGTACTACATTATCTTTATTATTGATTTGAAGTAAAATTTATTTCTAGCAGGAATCAAGTATTGTCTTTTTTCGGTGCTGTTTTCATCAGCTATTGTTCATTTTTTTTATCGATGAAACTCATCATAGCAGTATCGTCCCATAAAGAGATTCAGGTAGCATTCCAATTAGCAACTTCACTTTTATAAGTTTTTCTATATGTCGGAACTGTTTTCTCAGTAGAAAAGTCATCTTATGTATTCATATCAGTTAATTTTAAGATCTCTGAGGAGAAATATAATCCATCTTCAATAGAATCTTTCAATTAAGTTTCAGAATGATAAATATTCGTCATGTCATACTGGCGATGTCCTACTGAAGTCTATATTAACAGTAGCCATCAGTTATATTTTAGAATGATGAAATGGGTTGAAATGCTTTATTTTATATATTAGTGCTTAATCTCTGGTGTGTTATGAAACGCAATTACAGATTTTTTGAAGCTATAAAAGTAACAGGAAATGAATAACATTTTGATTATGGTTGCTTAAAAAAACACTTAAAGATGATTGAAAGTAATTTGAACAAATTTAACTACTTGAAACAAATTCAAAAATGGAACGTGAAACGTGAACTGTTTTCTTTTTTTCACGTGTCTTATTCTTCAGGATGAGTTGGTTTAACAGTTTAAAGAATTTATCAACATTTAATTAATTTTCTAAATAAAAAGAAACGATGAAAGATGAAGAGAAGGATTAATTGAAAAGATATAAAGGGAAACGAGAACAAATACAAGATGACAATGTGAATTATCAATTGTTTGGGTGACCTGAATATGTCGTTGTTTTTTTCTGTATCATTTGTTGATGATATCATGCTGTGAAGTTTCTGTTTTGTTCATTTTTTTGTATTCAAGTAAACAGTACTTCTACTAAGCTGACTGATAAAGTAAAATTGAAAAATTATGCACTTAAAAGGGGAAAATATCAAATGATCCAATCAATGACCGTTAATAATTCAAATATATGCAAATTATAAAACAAAAAAAAAAAAAAAAAAAAAGCGCTGAAGATAAAAAGTGTGTGACACTTCCAAATTAAAATTTAGAACATTTTGATATTCAGGTCGAGAATTATATTTGCAGTAGTTTATGCAAGTTTTCATTAAACAAAAAAAAAAGGTCAAATTTAGCCATTTCTTCCCAGATTACAGGAAATATCATAGAATAACTCAGTGGGAGACTAATTCTTAGAAGCAGGTGTGAAATCAAGATGTAGCTCACATCATACATCTGTCTTCTCATAAGCGATCTATTTAAGGTCATCACCGATCTTTCCAACCGTCTTCTCCTCAACATTCTTGAAAACATTGTCAAAAGCTTATTAATAAAATTAGTTAAATATTAGAGATATTTGTCATGCATAAGAGCTGTGACGAAAGCGAAATGTTTTCCATTTTCTCTTCTGCCTTCCATATGTGATCACTACTGTTGGATATGAATATCCAAGATTGAAATTCAAATTGAAGACCATTAAGCTTTGAATTCTGATCGTTCTAACTCATCTCGCAATTACACTTCTTTTCTATTTATTATTTGGTATTCGTATTCTTGTTATATTAATCCAGAATTAAATATAATTTTAATCTTCGAGCTGTACTTCGCTGTTTTTCTTGACTTCTGAGCGTATTTCATTGGTCCAAACTTGCGCAGATTAATTTGAAATTAGGATACTTATCTATGCATAAATTTGCACAATGATCACAACAGAAGTGATTTTCTAACTTCTTCGAATTTTTCCCACTGCATGGACAGTTGCGCAACCATCAACTATTCGAATTAACCTCTAACATTCTAACATATGAAACTATCTTTTATTATAAATTTATTGAAATTCAGTTGTCACATCTTCACGGTTCCATTATGCTTTATCGTTACTATCTTCTTTTTTTTCTTAATTTTTGCATTATTTGCCACTGTCTGCAAATGCACATTTATGGAAAGTTTAGGTTATACTCCTTGCAAAGTTCAAAGGTTGTTGCATTAGATTTGTCTTCCTTTCTCCAATCTAACTGAAATATTTTCTCAAAAAGTGTTGTCTTATCACTTACATTGCTTACATTTATTCTTTTTATCAGCCATTGTTAATCACATTACAGCTATTTTCCCTTGTTATCATATGAATTCGACCTGATCCTTATAAATCATAACTATTATTGATTAGGAAAAAGCAGGAAGCCATCTGAGAGGACGGAAACGATCGCATTTTCACCACTGATATACATGGATGCATCCATGTACTAGGCGTGCATTCCAGTTCAGGTTTACCATAATACGTAGATTTTTAAGAAGTTCCGTTGATAGCATATCACGCGCAAATTTTCGGTGATTGTCTAAGAATATGCTTACCTTCCATTTCCATCACGTCGTTATCATTTCTTCAATTTCAAAACAAAAACTGAAATGTTTGGTTATCGAAAGGAATCAATTCTTATCAAAAGGAGCCGGTGTGGAAATGAAATGGATAATTAGTTAATGTACGGTAATTAATTGATTGTTCAACTTGTCAAAATTTTATTTAAGCACTCAAAACCATGTTTAATTGAATTCTCTTTGAGTTTATATTAAAAACTTGTGACTGATTGGTGGTAACTTCAAGCGTTTGCTAAATTTTAATAATTTCAGTAATTCGAAAAGATGCATGTTTCTCTAAAAATCATCTCATACTATCTATCAAATAGCTATTTGTAGCAAATAGCCGAATACTATCTTTCCTGCAGCCATTGATGATTGAGTTGTAATTGCGCTGTACTTATTTTCTATTTTCAATAGTTTCAGAATAGCCTCAAAAAGGTACCATTCTTGAAGAGCACAAAGAGAGTACCACAGTACAGTCTAATGTACAATCAGACTCAGTCTGATTTATCATTGATCGATTCTTCAGATCTGTAATAGATTGTATTGTAGAACACGATATCGGGCAGAAGAATTTCGATTACAGCTTGCTCAAAATTTATTTTTGTAAATCACTTTTATGATGATTTGTGAAAATTTAGTTAGAAAGGATGGACAGTTCGAATGGACACTACCTCTACCTCTTCTGACACTACCTCTACCTCTTCTGACACTACCTCTACCTCTGCTGACCCTTGAGGTGAGTACGAATCTTTTTCTGAATTGCTTCACTAAACTGTCATGAGTCATTCGATGCTATCAGTTAGTTGAATGAGGTCATCACATATATGCTTTGATTACTTGCAAGTAATCGATATCATACTGATAAACAGTACAACGGGAAGAGATGGATGAGAAAGAGAGAGAGAGAGAGAGATTTTGATTTGTTTGCTTTGGTATTATTATAGCATCAATGAGCCGGTTGAAAAGAGAAGAGGGAATTCTAAGCAATGCGTGAAGCAAAAAGAAAAAATGAGAGAAATGTCTTATTATCGACTCATTGCCTTTTTTTTTCTTCCTACCGTACAATACTCTCTTCCTGTTCTTTTCCATTCATTGAATGTTTGCTGAATGAGCTAAAAAGAGGAAAGTTTATTTAACGTAATGATTCATTAATTAATTAATTGCCTTACAGTCATTTCAATATTATTTCATATTGTTATTTTTAGGCATTATGCCGCCGTATCAAAGGACAAGTGCGCTTTCTATTACAAATTCTGAAAATGAGCAAACTGTGCTACTGCCACTGTGCTTTTAAATCATTTCAATCCTCTCAGAGAGAATGAGGACAGTTTGCTACCACACTGAATATATTTATTGTTTGAAGTAATTTTTTTTCTTCAAATCAGACAAAGTAGAAGACAGCTGGATGGGTTTCAACCACAGATGGTTTAAAGGTTACCATATTAAAATTATCCTTCTGTTTTATGTTATCTGTCCGTTGAACGTCAATTGCCATTCTATCCATTAGGTTAGTGGTTCTTTTTCTTGACCAGTGACCGGCTTAACTTTTTTATTTGCAGCAGGGACCACAAGGTTCAGAAGCAATGAATTCTGTTAATGTGTTAAATTCTGTCGAAAAAATAGATTTTGGTCAAAACTTTCAACTTTTAAACTTCAAAAATCAAACTTTCGACGTTAAATTTAGAGTGACATTATAATATAAAAAAGAAGGAACATAATTTTTGATAGCTCTTGTGAACCATATTTTAGTCCTTACGAACCACTTATGGTCTGATGACCACCAATTGGGAACCATTAAGTTAGATCAACTTCAAAAAAAAAACGACTCAAACAATTACTGGAATTGATAATCAGCTAGTATTTTAGATATATTCCTTACTGATCTTTGCCATGCGATCATTTTCCGCTTGTCCGTCAGATTTCCGTTTCCTGACTACTGATCCAATTTTAATAACGGGAGAACTGTGAGCGCTCCAGTATCGAAATCCGTTATTGCTGAGTTATGCAAGACATGTTTCCGTAATACGTAGCATTAATGTGTTATGATGCTCGTGTAAGCGGGGAAAAGCGTAAAGTGACACAAACATAACTTAAATACGTATAACGTAACGTGTATGTATGGTAACCTATGTATGTATGTATGGTAACCTATATATGTATGGTATGGTAATGTGGAAATAGTGGATGAAAATGCCGCACATGTGGCTTGGTAGATATGATTTGACGCGATCATTATTTGATACTATTTGCATCTAAATTGTACGGCATACAATGGCCATAGCAATGGTGACCACCACAACGAGTGGACATCATTTGTCTGAGATCTTTCCTTCTTTTTCCTGTGCTTTCAATGAACCAATAAATTCTTTGCTGCCTCTCATCTCATTATAATCAATGATCTACTGATTCATCACCGCTTCATTAAAATATCTTTCTAATTAGCTACCTTTTTGGTTACAGCAGCAAAAACTCAGTAGATGAGTGTTG